TTAGTGCTGCAGGAGAAAAGCTGTAGACTATCTTCAAGTCGTCAGCGAAAAGGTAGGGTATGCCATTTCGGATAACACTGCAGATATCGTTTACATAGATTAGGAAAAGTATCGGTCCTAGCACACTACCCTGGACGACACCACTTTGTATAAGTCTAGGGGTGGAGTAGCAATTACTGAATTTTACTACTTGGAAGCGACCCTCTAAAGATGTTCTGAGCCAGGACAGTAACGGGTCTCGGAAACCATATGATTGCAACTTAGTGACCAGGCGTTTGTGAGGCACCTTATCGAATGCTTGCTTGAAGTCTAAGAAAAGGGTAGTTACAAATAGGCCTTGGTCACGCTTGCTTGTAACGTTGTCTAGATAGTCAAGATAGCTTGTAGTGCATGACCGGCCTTTCAAGAATCCATGTTGTGCTGGTGAGAGTAATTGGTTAGTCGTCATATAGTCGACAACTGCTTTCACAATCACCTTTTCCATAGTCCTGGATACTACTGACGTGATGTTTATAGGTCGGTAGTTTTCTATATTAGATGTTGGTCCACATTTATGCTTAGGACATATGTATGATAGTTTCCAGTTCTCAGGGTAATTGCCACTGGAGAGGGACGTATTAAAGAGCTTCAAGAGAATCAGCGGTATATCTTCGCCACCTCTTTTTAACAAGATGGTTGGAATTCCATCAGGCCCCGCACTGTATGAGGTTCGAAGTGATGCTATAGCTAGAGAAATGTTTTGTTTAGAGAAGAGCACTGTACTTATGGAGTGAGTTGGTGTTGACGGTGCACCAATGACTTTTATTTCGTCCTCTTGTGTAAAGCAGCTAGCAAACTGGTAACCGAACAGCTCGCTGATTTGTAGTGGGTTATCGTAGAGGATGCCGTTGTCCATGATTAAACTAGGGGTACTATTTCTGGAGCTACTTATCCGGGTTTTCATCAGTCTCACTAGTGCTTCTGTATTACTAGTTTTACTACATTGGATGCGTTCTTGTTTAACGGCTTCTATTACTCTTTCTGCCTTGAATGTGTCGTATGTGTCTTTGAGTGTGACAAGCGACGAAAAGTCATTCGACTTATAGTACTCTCTGACATGGTTTCGCATGCGGATGCGTACTTTCTTTGGTATATAGTCAGCTCTGTTTTTCTTAATTTCTCTTCGGAGCGGTGGAGCAACATAGTCTTGAGCTGTGCCTATATATTCATAGAATAGATCACAGAGTTCTTTGGCTGAACTGTTGGTAAAGTAGGGGCTCCAATCTAGGCAGCGCAGAAACGATTGTAGTTCGTCCCATTTGGCATACTTGTAATTTCTAGTTAGTACTGTTCCTGACTTTTGGGCCACTTTTGTGCTGGTTATATTGAAGTATCCATATACAACCTTGTGATCGCTACCTGGAAGTTGTGTACCCACTTGGAGTTTTGTGGGTGTGGTTCCGTTTGTGAAGACTAGGTCCAGGACACTATTGTACCTGGTAGGGTGTTCCACATGTTGTTGCCAACCCTCTGTTTCAAGAATGCTTATGAATTTATCAAAGCGCTCTGGAAGCATCAGAACTGAAGTTAGTTGTCTTAGAATTTGAGGAAGCAGCATTTTCAACTAGAGTATCTAAAGAGGACACCTGGAATAAGGAGCCATGTAGTCCAACAGTCTACTTGTAGAATACCTCCGAGGTTTTATGCAGCACATATCTCACGTCCTAGGTTATCCGTATTACAAGTGCTTAAAGACAGTGACTCTGTTTTGCATTTGAGAATCAGTAAGAGATTTGACATGCATATACAGGGTTAGAGGAAGATAGTTACTATAATCCTAAGGGAAGGGATGGCGGAAGGCGCGAACTGGATCTAATGACCTCAGATAAGAGTGGTTTCCATAAGTCCCCACCACCAGATCTGCCATCTCATGTTAGGCCTTTCCGCATTATCTTAGTCCATCACTACCTTGCCTGTACCATGTACTGTCAATGCTTTTTCCACTCTTGGCCTCTTCTCTCTTTGCTAACCATAGTAATAAGGCTGACACGGAGGGGATTAGAGGTCGTTGCGCCGGTAATCAGGTATCCAGTGTATTCATGGTCCTTGCTGTGTTGTGTCTTCGCACATTCAATTGCCTCAACCATTCTTGAGTTTCTCACGGATAAGGGTGGTTTCCACATGTCCCCACCACCAGATCTGCCATCTCATGTTGTACAGCTGACATCCAAATATTTCTACTTGCCTTCACTCCATTAGACATCTCTTTTCTTTAACAGACCTATCCCATTCTGTACCGAATGTGTCGTTGTCTGGACATTCACTCACTGGAGCTGAAAAATTACCTCTAATGTAGGGTAGTTGCTCCGAGGCAGCAGATGCAACAGCTGACTGTTGTCAGGAGGGACATTTGCTTGAGGAGAAGTTTACATATCAGATGAGTTTAGACAGCATGCTGCACCTTCTATCCATGGCTTTAGCTTTTACAATGTATCCTCTCATCCATAGAGTATCGACATTGTGGTCAAGTATGGGCATTTTAATGGCTGCACTTTTCAATAGTCTCACGCGGATGGCCAATGAGAAACCATCTCCAGAGATAGAAATAAGACTACGAATAACGAAGCCATATGACAGTCTAATTCAACAAAACACCGCAAAAGCTAGGAGTCGAAAGCCTGTTTGATAAGAAGGATCAAACACAAGAAACAACTAAATCACATCAGGACAAGTTTTGTCTTGATGACGCTGAAAATGTCAGTCAGTTTTCTAAAACGCGCATCCTGGTTCGAGGGCGTCACGAAACTTAAATGCAATTAAACAGAAGCCGTTATCTGTGAATTGGGAGTTAAAGAGTTGAAAACCGCATGGTTTAAGATAATCACATGAATTCGGAGCACCAATAGCTCGGAAATCCCTGTGCATTCGCCTGACATTTTTCGGCGGTTTCTGAATGCATACAGTGAAATGTGTCCGGGCTGAGTTGGGCTTCCAGTGATCTTTATTCACCCGAGAGTACTCAGAAAAGTCCCGATGTTCTGGATTCCCCACAAGCGAGCCACTTTGCATGCCCGCTTCTGAAAGGCTGGTTTTCCTCTGACTGGAGACGGGTGGCTGCCAACCTAGCGCCATAGTGAGGAAACAGAGTACTTGTGACCATAGGCAAACCTTCCTTGCCTCTTCAGTTACGAACGTAAAAGAAAGAGAAATAAACGACTCGTTTCGTAATTACCCAAAAATTCAACTTTAGGTTAGTGCCATAACAGTTTTTTATCTAGAAGGTCACGTGAAAGTGACTTTTGAAATGGCTGGGCTGCCTGTGTTGAGCAGAAATAGCTCATTCACATCGGTTGACGTGACTTTTCCAAGGCCACTGGTAGGGTTAATCATGATACTCTGTTGAAGAAATTTCAGTCCTTGGGTGCTCACGGTAAATCGATAATTTGTTTTGGAGATAATCTTCACACCGGGCTGGCTCCTGTTTATTCCTATGCTGAGTGGTGCTCCTCAGGTTTCCATTCTGGACCCATCACCGTTCCTTGCCTTTATAAATGGCCTCCTAGGGACACACTCCTCATTCACAATTGCACACCAGGGATCTGGAGATATTTTGGTTGGAATATAGGAGCCGGCCAGTATTTTAGTCCTCCTGGAGGGCTTTTCTCAAGTCCTAAATTTACCTACAGAAAACCTATTCCCCCGAACTCAGGGCAGTGTTGGATAACGTTCGCCGACAAACATGAAAACAGTTATGGCTCTTATTTCAAGAGCCAAATAAACACCTGTAACTGAAGCATGGAACAAGATTGGGGAGAATTACTTTGAGAAGCAAGTTTGAAGCTTCGGACCATTGCGGCCCTGTAGCCAACAAGGTCTTCAGAGCCCTTGAATCTCTTTTGAGATCTTCTAGCCGTCTAACTTGTGCCCTATTCAATGCAGCAAATGGACCCTATATTCGTGCTCATCTCGGAAAGATCTCGAACTTAGCGTCCCCGCACTTGAAAAATGCCATGGCCATTCTATGACAGGTTCGGAAAAAAGCTGTAAAGAAAGCGATTCAGTTAAGGTACGAAAATTACCTGGATCGCTTAGTCGTCCTTGAGCTACATCTAGTACATTATCGGAGGGTCAAAGGCGATACGACCATGATGTATCACACTACCCAAAATCCCTTACGTCCTAGCATAATTCTCTCAAGCTTTTGCCAGAACTCCCACCTTGGGGGCCATGCGTTAAGAGCAGAACAAGAGGGAGCATGTACAAAGATCCGTGCTAACTTGTTCCGAGTTAAGGTTCATAAAATACAGAACTCCATCTGTTCAGTAGTCGTAACAACCACATCCCTTGACGCTGTGGCGTCACACACTTCCCCGAAATCAATAACCTGGGGCTCGACAACATTCGACATTGATGCTGGCCTTAGTAGTTTAACTAAACTCGCTAAGCTGAAGGCACCTAGTCAAGCACCCTCACCATTGACACTCTGCCGTGTTACGTTGCACTGCTCGTATTCGACTCTCTAGCCAGTTAGCTGGAACTCGTTTATATCTTGACACAACCACCTAAATATGCTATTCCATTTGACTGCGCTATCATGTTCTTCCTTGGCCTTGTATTCGTGGGTATATAACAAGTCCGAATAATTAGCGATTGGTCTTTGCGTCTATCAAGTTCGCACCAGGACAATTCCTAAAACACGTTCAAAAGGAGGATAGATGCACATCTAGAGTTTCGTGATACAGATAGCCTGTATTTAAGGAGCTTTGCACCACCTACAGATCGGTAGAACTATCGCTACCTACTGAGACCAGATAAATTAATAGTCGATTCGATATTGGATTATCTCTGTCCCTTCAGGTTTAATGGAGCCCGTAAGACAACTGTGACCATTTCAGTACAATAAGGTTTCCCAGCAAGACAGATATAAGACTCGAAAAGCATCATATACTCATTCTATGGCACGAAGTTCAATGTTTAAGATTTGGACATCGTTGTAGCTCGGAAGAAGGGAGCGTTCCTTCAAATATTGACCTTGATGATAAAATTAAAGTGACAAGTCTATGCTGGGTTTTTCTGCTGCGGTAAGTAGTGGCTGCGAGATATCTAAGTAGTGATTTAAATCGCCATGATTAAAAACAGCATTAGTCCGAAATCCTTCGGGTTTCGCCAAACATTTTCCGGTAACTTCTGGATCCATATAGTGAAAGGTACCTAAAAATGGTGGACTTCCAGTGATCTTGATGACTCACATATTTATTCTTAGATTTTCCTTATGTTTAAATTATTGATGTATTTCAGACATTGTAGAAATTAAATTCGCGGTCAGGATGGCCCTCAGCACCACCACTACTACTTGGTGACATTATTTTCAAGTTCCTGCACCCTGATATCACACAGATATCCAGCGTCGTAAACCTTATGTCTGCCTCAGTTATGGTATTTTACTTCTTAAATATTGTAACGCAGTTTCACACAAGTAACAGGAACTGTAGAGGATCACTCGAAGTCTTATTTTCATCCACATCGCAGTTCAGGTGGTTCATTTTCATATGGACTTTTAAATGAATGTCTGTACCTTAAGTACACTTCAAGCAGAAAAATATTCGAAGACACACAAGTTCCTGATTATCGTTGAATAACCCGTCCTGCCGTAAATTTCTTTCCATTCCCGTATTAAAATTTGCCGTTTCCCGTTTGATGCATCCAAAGTCATTTATTCGTCGCTCAAGGACTGCGGAACTCTGTAATTCTACAGTCACCCCCAATCAACGAAGTTTATAGGGTTGTTATAACGTAAATTTTGGCATACAACGGAGTGAAAATGTATTCTTGATCCCTGAACTTATAAAAGGCAGAAAAGAAAAAAGATATTCTTTTCAGTTCTATTGACGTTTTGTTACTGGAACAACCCACATTTCGCACTCCACTGTGGATTTAACACTTGTCATCTTAGTGAACAGTACGGTTTTTCTTTTGCATACACTAATTCATTCATATTTAAAGCATCAAAACAATTACTTTGGTTTTTGTCTGTGATGGTAAAAAGGTAGTAAAATACTTAAATACCACATGTGAAGTTGATAATACTAATAGCTATCATGTTAGTATTTATCCTGTTGATGGTTGAAATCATGAAAACATGGCACTGGAGACATACGAGCAGTCTGTTTTAATCAAAACTTTAAAAAGATGAAGTTTGCCTCATAACAAATAATAAAGTATGTGGATAGTCAAAGTTCTGAAAGGTTAGTTATTTACGTGAAAATGCTAGGAAGCGAAAGCAAGTCGAAAGGTACATTTTATTTCCCTTATTATCGGGAAGAAAATCCAAGCACACAGCAACCTTGTGCATATTCGGGCAGCAGGCAATGAGCCTCACCTATTGTGTAAGGGCTAATGATACTGCCTGGTTGCCCAAACCTCAGTAGATGGAACGCTGTTCGAACCAGTGACCCACTGATTAGGAATCACCTGCCTGAACTAATGGGCTACAGCCCCAAACAACCAGTGAGCTCTAGCTTTTGGTTTTGATTTCAGAGGAATCTTTTCACAATTTTCGCAGTTTGTTTGATTTTCAAGAAGTAAACAAAATGTTAGTCTATTATTATTATTATTATTATTATTATTATTATTATTATTATTATTATTAGTCCCTTGGGTTCCTAGTGGAACATAGGGCTTCAGTAGCACGCCTCCAGTGACCTCTGTTCTCTGAGATCTTTTCAACCTGGTCCCACGACAGCCCACAAGCTCTCATTTCCTCCTCGCACGACCTCCTCCATGTCACCCTCGGACGTCCAACTCGTCCCTTCCCATGGGGATCCCACTCCAGGGCCTCGTCTGACGCGTGATGTCCCCAGTCGGCCTTTTCAGTGCATGCCCAATCCATCTCCACTTCCTCCTGCATATTTGTTGAGTGATAGGTTCTTGGTTGGTTCGTTCCCAGAGTTCCTTGTTGCTTATTCTTTCTGGCAATCCATCTGATCTTCAGTAGCGAGCGTAAGCAGTTGTTGGTGAATGTCTGTAGTTTATTGGAAATGCCTTTCGTGACGCGCCAAGTCTCTGAACCATACAAGAGCACTGACTTGACTGGGTTGGTGTTGAAAATCCGTATCTTGTTTCACATGCTGAGTGCAGAAGAAAATGTTAGTCTAGGGTTTTGGAATTTACCTTTTTTACGTTATTTAGAATTAAGAGTTTGGAATTCAAAGTAAGGAGTATCGTAATGTTTAGTTACTAAGGTTTACTAGTTGGAACTGATCATACTGACTTAAAGTGTTCTGTTATCAGCTGCCAGTACAACAAAAACAGCCAAATGTTTCATGAGTTTACTAAGTTATTAACAATTGAAAGCCAGTGTTTACTACCTGGTGCTAATACTATGGTTTAAGTTAAAGTGCTGGTACAGTCAGTTTGTATCCACATAGAGCCGGCATTACTATCTGATGGTCCGATTTGCTGGTACACATATTTCGTCTCCTTAAAGCTCTGGATCTAAAAGCCATAAATCTAAAAAAACGTTAAAGCTCTTTGAATGACACAAAATGATAAATAATTGTAATAAGACAACTCAAACCTATACGGGTTTCTTATGTAGTACAGTGTTGTCTACAGTTATTGTGAAGGTTTATAATGCTATCAGGTTAGAAAAGCCAAGGAAAGTAGGATAGGATTTGAACCTGGGATCTATTGCTTGAAAGTCAAATCCCTAAGTCAGTAAGTTACATCACTAATGGCGCTTAGCTGTTCCTAAATTTCATTCATTTCCAGCTGATATATTTTTTGAACAATATAAAATAACTAGGGTTGACCGGAAATCATAAGTGATTGTTGGACTTGAAAGGGTCGCTCAAAGCAAATATGAGTGTCCAAATGTGGATTTCGACAAGCTCTAGTGTACAAGACATAACACTGAATTCAGAATTAAAGGTTTGATGCTAAAATAATATTATATAGCCCATGTTCATAAAAACTTGACTTGTACAAAGTAACTTGTTAACTTAATACGTATACAAAAACATAGAAAGGTATTAGTGGAACGTTAAGATGATAACTGAACTCAAAAACTAACTTAAATCTGTACAGGCTTCTCATCAGTAGCTTGAGCTATCGATGTGGCTTTCTTCTCATTCAGTGACAAAAATCAAATTTGCACTGAATTCTAATTACATTTCAGTCATCAAGATTAAGTGACGTACTTTATCCAATAACCAGTCAGTTACTCGTGTTGAAACCAGTTCGACTTATATCAGGAAGAAGAGACCTTCAAAGCAAATCCCTTCTGATTCAGGCAGACTTGCAATCGCACACCACCCATCCATATAGCAGTCAGAAAAGCTCAGCGACTAAAGCTACACTAACCTTGCCAGCGATTGGGCATCTCTATTCAGTCAATAAGTTGCTGTACCTGTAACGCCAAGCCAATGGGTTCAAATCCTATCAAGGTTGAGGTTTTCTTTGAGCTTGGGTCATCATCCTCTTACATAATAAAACGAGATGCACTCAACAAGCTTGTACATGTTCGTGCATTAAACAATGAGGTACACCTGTCGTGTGAAGGCTAATGATGCTGAAAAAAGCCAGAGATAGGTATTCAGGAAAGAATGTTTATTGTCAACAAGTGGGACAGTAGTCGTTAAATATAGTACACCTTACACTAAAACCGTCATTTACTAAATATGCCTCATTTGTTCTTCTGCTTCTTTCTTGATTTGCTCTTCTTACGCCTGCTTTGTCTCTTGCGTTTCTCTTGGCACAGTTCTTACCCTTTGCTGGTAATTCCCTATGATTCCTGCCACTCTCCTAACAGATACTACTTATATCCATTCTTATCAGCAACGCCCACTACAATACCACTTGGCACTCGAAACCTTGGTAGGTGACAGGTCTGATTAACAGGAAGAGTAATCATAAAAAGCAGTCACAGGGTATAATCAAATTGCTCCCATCACTTTGTATTTGTTTTCTAAAATAGAAAACGTAATGAAACTGCATCACAATCGCCACCGATACTTACTTTTAGCCACTTGTTGAAAAGTTCCGTCTTCGAAGTACTACTTAACAATTTTCGTGCCTGTTTTCATAAACTCTCCGTCAAACTTATCATTCACCACTAAATGTCGTGGTTGGACTTACGCAACTGCCTACAAACGTATGTATAGTAATCAGTGTTCCTTTTCAAGCCCATCTGCTGTCACTGTTTGAGCGTGTAAATTCTTTTAAACAGCTGGCTACAAATACTTTATTCTATGATAAACATCCTCATCCACACCTCTCTGCACGTCTTTATTCATGGAAGATAAAGTAAATATATTAAACTTTTTGCACATACAACTATATACAAAAATTCAGTTATGCCTTATTTAACTTGTGTACTGTGTAGAAATGCATGTAAAAAAATCTTACCAATCAACTTCGTAATGGCGAACGGTTATCACAAACTTGCAGCCACTAAGAACTTCAGCGGCACTATTTTCATTTACAGTATATTGTAGACCACTATCATTGTTAATGTACTTGAAAAATGTACGACGACTGAAATATTACATGCTGAGAATTCTGTACTGTAAACAGAACTGTGTTTCGGAATGAAGCAAATATATATTGTTATGACTGTTATTATTACTGTCATTATTGAAATTTACTACATTCTTATTCTTGATGGGCAGGTTTCACCCCCTATATGCCTGGAATTAGTCTCCCACCTAACCATGTGATAAATTCATGGCATTTCGACAAAATAGTTATGTATTACAATGTGGATCATTTTTTGAGATGTTACACTACTAAAACGATAAAAGACCTTCTTTAAGAACTTTGTGCACAGAGGTTTAGGTTATTCTGTAATTCTTGGATTCTAGAACAGCTACCAAAGTTTTTATTCATTTCAAAGATATCCCATATTCCACATTTGTAATTTCACGTTTGGAATACAGTACTGATGCTTTAAGTGTATACCGTAAATGTGTGGTGGACTAATACTACAGTACAATTAAAGTTTTCAGAGATTTAACTGGTAATTCGTCAAGAAAAAACAATTTTTAATTTTTATCTGTCTATAAAGTAAGGATCTTCATATTTCTATACAGCACTTTAGATAAAGGTTTCAACGATGGTATCCAATTTGTTCCATCCCTGCAGGATTGATTGCTTGTGAGGTCCTCATCAAGAGTTTAAAAATCGCTGTCAATACGTTTGCCTTTCGAGGTACGTTCTCATGAAATTGTGAACCAACAGAATTAACTATTGATACACTTCATATTAATAACATTTACCGAATCACATAAGACGTCTATTTGAAAGAATAATTTAGACCACTTAACCAAAACTTACTCACAAACACCGAATATGTTGTTTTCTTCACAAGAGTATCTGGTAGAATTGTCATATGGTTTCTTCTACCGTCAAAATTTTGTGAACATTATGCCATTTGTTGGATGTAGACATCTGGATTTCATCTTGATCTTTGCTAGATAAGTATTTGTATAAACTGTAAAGTATAGAATCATAATATGAAATGAAGCTTCGGAAATTGAGGGGATTGCATGATACATAAAGCAAACACGAAACTTTGGAAAGCGTAAAATGCAATGGGATAGTTCATCAAACAAACCAACGCAGAACTTGGGACAGAAGTGCTCCAGTTCAAAATGCCATACTTTACAGCAGAATGTGAATAGAAAGTGGGTCGAAAAAGAACTATATTGAAGTAGATAAAGATTTATAAAAACAAAAAAATTAATGAACGATAATTCTTGGAAATTTTTCTAAGTTCGGAGGTGATGACGAGTACAAACAACCTTGCCATTGTGACCAATTTCCTACTGTAACACCACGACTCTGTAAACACCGATTCCTATAATCTGTGAGACAATCAGGCAGCCTACACTTCACATGACACAGTAAAATTCAGAAGCATCATAAATTGGCATCACTTCTTATTCTGAATACTCTTGGCCCTATCCAAACATAATCTTACTAAAGCGTGCACTACATACGTCTAAACCACCTGTCAGTGAAAATTCACAACCTCATCAACTGACAAGCCTTTTTCTGCCCAATACCATGTTTAACCTCAGTCAGCGGCGTATTAATTCCACCACACTCAAGCAGTGTTACGAAAACATTTGTGTTCAAAAACGTTTAGCCTCGCGATGTGTTATACTTTAAATAACCATTTGTCATAACTGTACAAGAGGTTGCTGTGTTTCACACTCGTTCAGTGATAGATAGTCCAATATCACATTGGGATCAAAATTGGCGTAAACCAACAAATGTTAAACCAGCTACATGTATGCGTGCTGAGATTTGGTCATAAACTAATTCACTGGAGCTAATGTGAATTCTAAAACCAATGCATTTCATCACTTAAGTTCCTATTGATAACTAAGGGTCGATGCAGGTTAGTCTTGAAGCGTCATCTTACATTTCAGAGGTACAGAACTCATACTATCATTTCAGGGTTCGCATGTTTTATTTTCGCAAGACATACGTTCAGAACTCATGTACCTATTCTGTTGATTTTATCTACCTAATATCATGAATTTTGTGGTTCAGTATTCATATCTATATGTTCAGCAACTTGTTTCATTTACTTGTGATCTGAATAGCATTTGAACAGAGTCGTTTGTGCACTGTCTGCCTGTGTACTTCTATTCAAGCTTGGTTTTTGACCACCCAAAATCTAATTGTATTTCGAAGTATGTAGAGTTCAGTTCTGCGAAAAACCTCCATCCTTTTTTTAGAGTATCCTTACTCCTGATTCATCCATAGCTGGTGGTTTTAATATATTAGTTTGGAAGCTAAATTTAACCCATCCAGTCTTCAAATCACCCAAAGTAATTCAAACCGAAGGTTCGTTCACTAGTTTGCTACCTAGCAACCCTGCAAAATGACTATAAAAAGAAATTATCATTGCCTATCATAACTGAAAAATATTTGCGGATGATTAGTACTCATCACGAAGCGTTTATTAGAATTCCACTTATAATTTATTGGAAACACGTTTGCATATGCGACTGGGTGAATACAGCAAACTGCATTATTTGATTGTAAATTACGACAAAGGAAATATGAAATCAGCAGTTGGTACTTACTATCAGCTGTTACGGCCACGGAATCTCGCCTGGGAAAACTATTTTTACCTACCTAACAGTCAGTAACTTATTAAGAATTTTACAAGATGGCTTCATATATCGGTATGACAGTGATCACAGGATGCGTTTTCATCAACTGCGGTTGGGTAGAAAATGTGGAGTATAATCTTTCACTTTTGTCTGGACGTTGCGTAGAATGCCATTATGTCTAAGCTTCAGAGTCTCGACTGATAGCTGCTATCTTGACTTGGTGGTCAGGTGTGTATATCAAAATGATCCAACGAGCTGCTTTGACTAAAACGCTTGTTTCTTGAGGTCCTACCATGTAAAAAAGGTCCGTTGCATGGTGGTAAGACGATAAGCAGTCACTCTTACAGTCTGAATTGCTACGCTGTGGTGGCGGTCTGATGGCGATGTCGTACTGCTGGTTGGATGAGATGTGACAGTAGTAATGTGTTCCCCTTAGACGACCAGCAGTACCACGTTGATGCTGTCTATCTACTGGGCAAGAAGAGTTAGAAAAGGCAGGCCTCAAAAACAGAAAACTCCTCCCTGCCCTGCGGTCTTATGGTGCAGACGGTATGCGTTTTTGCCATCTGATGTTTGAACAACCAAATCATGAAGTAACAATCCCCGAACGGTCATGTGTGATAAGCCTCAACAGATGTTCCATGATGTCTGCAGTCACACAAATCTTTGTCTCTTCCAGGCACCCTTCAGAAGCACTTTCCACACAAAACTACAAAGTGCAGCGTATGACCCATGAAACTTCTATGTGAGCAGTTTTGAGTATAGGCGTAAGTCAACAGCGTTGTGCATCTGACATAGTTGAGAAGTATAAGCTGTTGTAAGCTACTGTTAATCTTGATGTATAATATCAGTTGATGTAGTACCGAAATTTCCTAGATTATCAGGTCAAAATAAGGCACTGGTTTAGAAGGTTCTTGGCGTTTTTTAGCTATGCGCTTGCCTAGTGAGTTTCATTTAGTTTTCTCTTATTATGAGCAGTGGTGTAAAGTTTGCATTCCTCTAACTGATTTATAGGTTCAAACTGTTTAGTACCTCATTTGTCGAAGTTTATAGTATTTAGTTTTATTTTATGCGGGTGTATCATAAATAGCTGGATTACTATGTATTGCTTCTTTTTCTACTTTTAGGATTTCACTAGTGCATTTGTTTTTGACCACTTTCTCATTATTCCGTAATCACTATTTCTTTCCTCATATTAGTGTTTAAACACATTTATTCCAACAATGGGTCGAAAATATCCATATGAAACACCCCGCAGTGCTATGCGTGGCCAACACGATGGATCCAGTGTTTTAGTGCAGCGTACTCACAAGTCGGTTTCCTTGGAAAGCAGTACAGAATGGTTCAGAAAAGAAATCAGATATCAAATGGAGCGAGGTGGTTTGTTTGAAGACCCATTTATGCCCGCTGATGATTCAAGTATCAAATCGGATTCTGGATCTGGTGGACAAAGATTCAGATGGCTTAGGCCTCCTGTAAGTCGATCAAATACCGACTGTTTGACTCACTAACCCCTAATCTGGTTGTGAATATTTAAAATACCAGCTCAAATAGTTAACATTTATTTCCTTGGTGTTCCCTCTGTCTACAGTTTTGTGTTGACAACTAAGTTTGATGGAAGACTCGGTCACCCAGGAGCAAGCTATGTAACTATCGACTTCCTACTGCTTAATACTAACCTTCTGTCGACTGATTTTGCAACATGGCCACTAAGCTAAATTTGCGTGACGCTGTATAGCATTATATTTCCGGTCTTAAATTTTAAGTGTAAAAAATTGGAAAGCCCTGGACATCGATTTTGAGCTTACTAGGGCTCACCAGTAAGGCGTATCTTATAACATGAAAAAACTGGTGTTCACTTGATGATTTGAACCCGAATCACTAATTACTGAATAGAAGAACTCTACCAATCAGCTATTCATACTATGACTGACTTAATTTAATGTATTATTCGTTGCTCAATAGTGAGATGCGTCCCATAGGGATTAGTGCTAGAACTTACCTCAATTTTCGGAAGCGACATATGTATGTGTATATTTACATTGCATTTAACAGACAAAAATAATTCCACATTCCCTCAAGCTTGGGTATCGGATCTGAGAGTTTGCATGTTGTCCATCCAGTCCCAAACGAAGTTGTTCTGTCTCTACACCCACCTGTTTCTGGTCAGCATGAAATTCAGGCATGTCTTCAGCGAAACTACAGTTGCATAACCATTCCAAGTGCAACTGGTAAGTGAAAATACTAAAGCCGTCATCAATGTAAAACTAACAAGACAATTACCAGAAAAGGGTAGGGTCACTTCTTCTAAAGAAGGCTGGCGCCATCTTCAGTCTGCTGTAAAAACAGGATTAAAGGCCATGACTGACACTCAGATAAAGGTTAGATATGGTCAGTGGATCTCAGCAGCTCCTGCTGGCACCTAACACAAGGAGGAGCGGAAACACCTCAAATATGGACTGAAAAAGAGTACTCAATGTTGGCAACCTGCGAAGGTTACAGGGGTGGAAAAGGCAGTGGCGATAGTTAACAATGGGCAGTTATTTAGACCAATCAAGGAAACAAGCAAAACATCAGTAGTTAGTGAAACTATAAAGGAAAAGAATAGGTTTAAGATATACTTGCGTGAGAGAGAAGTAGAATGATAGGCGGAAGACTTCGAGAAACAGATATACTGGCCTTCAGCTACTCTTTGGTTGTCTGCTATCCAATTGGATCTTGCATGAGACATTGAAACATGGCCACCATCATTTGCAGAAGTTGGAAAACCTGTAAGTAACCTGAGAGCGTAGATGGAATTAGGGCCGACTGGCCTACTGCCGGAGATGTTTTAAGGACAGTTGTCGTGGATTATTGTTCAGGTTAACCGAAGTTGTTAGCTAGCATATGGGAATTAGACATAATCCCAATCACCGTATCGTAGTTCTGAAGAAAGGGGAGAAGTCGCCTTGTAATTACCACAGGGAACTCATTACGAACATTAGGCTGAGTGGAGTGTACATCACTTCGGTCTTTTCTACCAAATAACTGTGAAATATGGCCATTTAAAGTGAAGGAACTGCGAAGGCCTCAGGTGTTTGATCAGCATTACCTTAATAGCGAAGGTCGTGTTGTGATACTAACACGTCAGTAACACAGAAGTCATTGTTAGAATTTTGGGCAAAAGAGGTAAACCAGTTGATGAGGTTGTGTACCTCCATCAACTTAGACGCCCGTTATATCTGTTACACAGGTCTAGTCACTCTCTACTTTATTGGAGAGTGTTAGGCTAAGTAAGCTTAGTCTGTATGAAGGTCAATGGTGACCAGATTGCAGCATGGTATCAGTCCATAAAGTCTTTTACTCTTGGTTAGAGCCGTGTCGAGGAATGCAGACTTCCCAGTTGATGTCTGCATTACAGCCGAAATCGTTGGTTGAAGATCGTCGGTGACGTGACTCAGAATCGCTGTCAGTGACTTAGATGAATTCTCTTGTTATCCGATGATCATACCGATTTTAATGATGGTTTTATTCCTTCGTGCTCTCTTCTCATAAGCTTTCTTCTACGTTTAACTACTTCCTTCCTTATTTCTCTATCTCCCATGGATGTGTTGATATTAGGTATGGTTACTCAAACTGTTACGCAGTGACTCCAGGTGCCATACTGATGCTGAATGACTTGCTAGGCTCGAAACAAAATGATAGCACCACATACTTAGAATTTTACGCTATTTTTCAGCTTGTATGTTCAACGCTTAATACTATGGATTATTTAATGAAGAAAGAATATGCTTAAAGTATTGCTTTGTAGTGTTCATGCGATTGATTAGTTTTACAGAGCTACTGATATATGGTGATAAATATTGTAGGGGGCTCTGCTGATCAGAATGGATATAAGTAGTATATGTTGAGAGGACGTCAAATACAGGCAATTACTAGCAATGGGTAAAGATCCTGCACAGAGAAACCCAAGAGACAATGTGGGTGTATAAAAAGCAAATTGAGATAGAAACAGAAGAGGAAATGAAGCACATTGTGCAAATGACTGTTTTGGTGGAAGGTGTACAATATTTGATGACTAATCTACGAGATGTCATAATAAATATTCCTTCCTTCGTCTCAGTCTTGTCATTCAACCATTCTCTGCCAAGTCTACTTCCCATCACGTTCCATGCTGTCCTATGCCACTTTCGCTCTACCCCTCAGCAACGTGCCAAGGACCTCAACCTTCCCTGCTGGAACCCGGCACCCACCAGCTCCGCGACCGACTCGAAGTCAGTAAGGAAGACCCTGATGTCTCCATCCTCGAACACTGCAGATCGCGGAATCTTCATCGCATCCAGAAGCAGCGACACCAATTATAGGAATCGACAAAACTGAGACGCAGATAAGAATGCTTATCATTGACATCTTGTACAGTAGTCATCAAATATTGTACACCTTCCACCAAAACAGTCATTCGCACAATGTGCTTCATTTCCTCTTCTGTTTATATCTCGATTTGCTTTTAATACGCCCACATTGTCTCTTGGGTTTCTCTGTGCAGAATCTTTACCCATTGCTGGTAATTGCCTATGATATCTGCTACCCTCTCAACATATACTACTTATATCCATTCTGATCAGCAGCGCCCACTACAATGTAACACTTGAATATATGCTCTTCACTGTGACATGAATTTCTTTTTCTTCTGTAAGCAATATGGAAGTCTCTTACATTCATTATATTTTGAGTTATAAATCTCATTTAGTTTATACACTCATATGAAGCTATTTATCACAACTTTTTTGACAATTATTGAAATAAATTGTATTCTGGCTAGTATTTCGCGTCTTATCTGATGTTCCTTTCTTTGGTCATTATCATTTTCAGTAAACTCAAGTCATTTTATTACGAATGATTTATTGAATGAAGGACTGATCTAAGCATGGGAGTTCAGCCTTCTAGGTTTCTATGTTTGAGTCTGTACTTCGTCAAAGAAATGTTATCTTTTTCAATTCAGTCTTCTTTCATATACGAAAATTACTCTAAACACCTTTTGTAAGGTATTCTTGCCAATTGTTTCTTTAACGCTTATGTTCTTATATTTGCGTATCCCGGTTTTGTAGCAAGTAAGCATGGGTAGCTATCTAAATGTTTACATTACAGTCTGCAAATTGTATGTGATATTAGATGTTATTTATCTACTGATGCACTTGAATACTGTTTATTTGTTACATATGTCAATTCATAAGAGATGTGAAGTGCGTCATAAAATTCGATTATCTACCTTCTAGGAACTCACACGACAACCTCTTTTTATTGCTGATGGAGTCAGTCGATTTGACATCAAACAAGGTGAACTTGGTAAGTCAGCGTAGCTAGTAAAACTCGTTGTCATATACATACATAAGGTTATTTGGTTCTTTTTGGAACGATTTCATCAGTGATAAAAGTTGTGACTCATTGGTTTAGTGAGTTGGCTTTCAACCAGTGTGTTGCGCGTTAAAACACCGCTCCGCTTACTGAAGTTTAGGCAGTCAGGTAGCATTGTTAGCCCTCGGACAATAGGTGTGGCTCACTGCTTATTACACTACTCAAAACTGTGGGTTTTCTCTGCCTAGTAAAGTGAATTGATGATCTTGTCAGTACTCACCGATACAAGTAGCAGAGAATAGAGCTGTATGAGAATTGAAAGTGAATATGCATTTAGTTTATCAAAGCAAAACTGAATAGTTATCATATTTACATTTTCAATCGTTTACAGGCAAGTACCAGTTTTCAAGGACTTTCTAACTAAATTTCTTTGATTTCAATGAGAATATTTTGGTTTGTGCCTATATATATTAACATACCTGTAAATAAATAGTTCGTATTCTTCCGGAAATTTCACTAGAGTGATAAAACACCATAGAACATTGACACTAAATTTGCGCTGTTTCATTCTAATAAAGTCATCAATAAGGAGGAGCAATAAAAAGTAAACCACCAAAAACTAAAACAAATTCATGTGACAGTAGGATTTTTATAACTTAGAGGTGAAAAAAGGGATATACATCTATGTCATAATGTCTGACTCAGACATTCTGATATCTCGATGACTGCAGACTACCAGGCTACAACTGACAAAACTCGAACAATACACAACGTTTCAACCCGTTCCAGTTACTTAATGCAGTCATCCTTAGCTTTTCTGCAAGATACTTTTACTTTTAAAATTATCGGAGTTGAACACACCTTGATGTGCTAAACATATGTCTCATCTGGCTTAGTTGGTACAAGCTCACAACTTCAATAGCCAGTTTACCTTCTTTCTACAAGACCCTGCCCTCAATCTGAAAACTGTCGATTCAGGGATTCCGATGAAAGTGAAACAAGCTTCTGGTTTCCCTGTAATTACTGACTTTCTTAGTTTTTATAAATCATGTGATGGTTGGCCCATTCTACTGATTTACTGTTGAAAACTACGAAACCCTTTCTAAGATGAAATGCATGTTGACACCAATTTGATATAATGATAAGAATGGTTAGATATGTGAAATTCTAAATATTCAGTATGTGCAACAAAAGCACAAAAGAACTGATGGGCTTTTTCAATTAATCCAACCAGTAGAAATAATTTTTAAAAGCTTGACAAAAGCCTAGAATGTATATCACAACTTACTTTCCTGTAAAAGGTTGTAGCACTCATCAGTATCGAGAAAAACATTAGCCTACAGTAAGGTATTGAAATCTTTCGTAAATAGCTAAGAGAACTTAACAGTTGACTCTTCGTACCGTTTAGACAAACGACTGGACTGACATACGATTGACCGAAGACTTCCTCGCTACAAATAGCTGTATCTGGAATAGGTTGAGGGTGAAAAATCGAGGTTTCCATCTTCAGTTAAGTAGTATCAGAAGAAAGTAGCCTTCCATGTCGTTCTAATTTCTACTCATAAAGTATATGATAGGTCAAAGCGTCAGGAACCTATAAAAAGGTCATATGTGACTATTTATCAACAAATGTCACTTAGGTTGTATCGTCACGCACCAAGCTTGTTAGTTCGTTCTATACTAATTTAATTTCCTTTTCAGGTGCACTTAGAAGAAGTATTTTCTCATGGTCTTGATAGCTGGAAAGCGTTAATTACCGGGAGATCGAAAGGATTAAATTCATTTATGGCTCCGATTGTTTCCTTTAAACAGAAGTAGATTTTTCGAGCTCATATAGATTAGAGAAGATCACAGTCGTAAAGCCTCAGTTTTCTATGACGTTTCAAACAAAATAGGAATCATTGATGACTTTCAAGTTGTACAATAGACTGAAATATTTTAGACCATTATTTCGGAGCACGTATCCACCATTAAGCTCAATATTCAATATACGTGGTTTACCTTATCGTTTCATCGAGTTTTTCGGTGAGATATCAATGCATACATCAGGAAGAAAATAATTTTATCACAGTTTTTAATGTTAGTTTTGTTGTGTGCAGATAATCTGGTATTCATAAATATCTGCTTTGTTAATGATTATGATACTTAGAATCCATTGGATTTCAGAGTTAATGTAGTGATATGATAATGTTAATAATAACAATTCGCTTATGGAATTGTGGCTCATTTGCTTAGGGAGTTGATTTTCAAACAGTAGGTCACGAGTTCGATCACTGCTAAACCTACCGAAGTATGGGTATCCAGATAGCGTTATTAGCCTACACACAGTAGGTGTGGCTCATTCCCTACCACACGAATGTGCACAAGGTTGTTGAGAACATTTCGATTTCTTCTAACAACTAGCCAGTAGTAAATGACCTTCGCCCTGTTATAATCAATCTTTCATGCCTATTTGCTTACAGTGTTAGACTTTGTGTCCTTGTCATATCCATTTTCAAAATTCATTGATTACTGTAGTATCTTTTCTAAATCAGTTGGTGTGATGGCGAGTTATGCGCTAGGATCAAATTTGAACATCCCGACAAGATTGATGTTGATGGAGACGAAAGACACAACATAGTGAAGAATAATGTATCAAGTAGATACTTGATATGCAAACATTTAATGGGTTTAAGTTTTGACTACAATGTTTAGTATCCAGAGAATCGGATATAGTTACAATGCGTTCATATATTAAAGAAAAATTCCAGTGAAAAGTTAACACAGTGGACTGATTAGCATACTGCTGGCACATTTAATACTCTTTGATAAAGAAACTATGTTACACTTCAATTAAGACTGTTTTTTTATTAAGTATGGTATAACAGTTAGTCAGTTATGAATTCGTTTTGTCGCTCTAAATTATATGAACAACTGTAGTCTTGTATATTTACTCCATCTCAGTTTTAAGTACACCCTTACCGAAATTTGTGTTAATTTGGAAATAGGAGTAACCACAGTTTGATACCAGCCAAAGAACTAAGGAAACCAAAGTGAGTGTGTTGTCCCATTATACGATCCCCCAGTAGGATGTGCATTGAACCAGATATATGATTGATTTTCAAACATTTCAACAGCTCATATGTTGTCATTCATTAACTAAGCTGAATTTTAAAACGTAGCATTTCCAACTTCAGTTGGTTAGCGGTATAATGTGAGCAATGTTATCATCAGTTATATATTATTAACCCTAACTTCTATGTATATTTTTCGTTGTATAAATATCTTCGAAATACTTTTAACACACTAATTTCGTAATTCTTCACATACTTTGTCAGTGATTGCACCTCATATCAAAATAACTGTCCGTTCTCTGAATACATTGGGTTGATTTATTGTTTTGTGATTGGCTGTCGAATTTCTAAGTTACGTCCGTTGTGACGATAATTTTTTTCAATTTTGAGTTCACAAATGGAAGTTAATTCAACTCTTTACACAGAGTACTTTCCTTTTGTTAATAGTAATAAAATTAGGAGTGCCGTATTTTTGATAATATCCTTCTTATTTTTTTACCTACTTCTGGATTTACTTTTCAGGTAACTGCTGGGTAATTGCCGCTTTAGCCTCACTATCGATGTATCCAGAATTATTTAATCAAGTGAGTGGAAAGTTGTTCGTTTTTCATTCGCTTGTTTCATTACTGTTGATTAGAATCCCCTTAAGTTGGGATATTGGTTGAAGGTACAGGTTTTATCGATACTCTAAGTATATATCATTTTTAGTACTGAGGACAGTTGACAACCGTTGGTTGAATAAATTGATTGATATGGTTTAAAATGTAGACAGTGCCAATATTCATATTGTCCCACATGTTTTACACCTTTTCGTCCTAAATTTACGCTTTCACGTTTCTTTTGTGACGTTTCGGTTCACTTTTGATTATGGGCTTAGTGCAGATAGAGAATTACTGTAAAATGGTGGTGGATGGATGCTTTGTCCTTAACTTGGAACACAGTAGTAGTAAGCAATCTCATCTGGAATCCGTTCCACGATTTTCATGCGCTTCCACGAACGTGGTGGTTTCTTTTAGATAACGATTGGGCGTTTGAAGCTATAGTTACCAGGTTCGAGTCTCGGTGAGGGCACTGTTACTCACTGGGTTGCGGGTACATCTAGTTGATGAGACGAAATGTGCGTCCTGGATTTCACTGCTAGCTACCAAGCGGATTATAACACGAAGATTCCTATTTTCAAACTTCTATCAGTTTGCAGTATGGTGCAACCATTATCCAATAATATCAGTAAGCATTCTCTCATCTCCAGCACACTTATGAGTGGAAAGTGAACAAAAAGTGCAACTGAAAATTCAAGCTTAGGAAGCCAAAAACTACTAGAATATTCTTTAAAATTGCAGTCATAATGGATTTTAGATGTGATTTTGTCGGTTGAAGTCACTTATACTATCTCCATTCAAAAATTCACCTTCCTGTCGATCAACTCACATTAGCTGCTTCTTAACCCACTGCTATTTAATGAATAGTTCTAAGACCATAGGATGTCAAAAAGTAGGGCTTACAGCTGGTTATCATTCTAATATATTCGTTGGGATAGACAGACAGACAGACTGGATGGCCATATCAAAGTAACATTTACCCTACTCAGCCACACTCTTGAATAAAAACAAGTAATATTTGCTACTTTTCAGTATTTTCAGAAATAGCTTTGGAATTCAGAAGACGTCTTTTCCACTAACGTTTTATTTGTAATCAATTATTGCTACATATAAAGACAAATATTTTAAATCTTCATAATCTCATGTGACTGCAACAGATTGTGTGAATTCTTAATAACGATGAATGGAACCAATAAGCACTTAAAGTTATAGAAAACAAAAGTAGCCTACAAAATAATTGATCGTAAAATAAAGTTAACAAAAGCCTAGCGTGACTTTGTGTTCACTGACTATTTTAGTAATCACTAAATTTCAAGTCTTATATATATATATATATATATATATATATATATATATATATATATATATATATATATAATAAGAAAGCAGAATGCACTTGATAAAATTCTTTTCTCTCTCCAGCGTTTGCTTGTACAGACGTTTAATTCCTTTAAATGTAAACCTTCACATTTTCCCACCACTTTCTGTGATACCATAACAGTGAGTATCATTAGCTCCCCGTAAATGAGATGCCACCCATATTCTAACAAATGAATGCGTAGGAAATTACTAAGCTATGTAATTATCCTCTCTATGAAAAACAGCTAGCAGAGGAGTACTGTACACATTTCTCTACTTGTAAACATATATTGTATCTAGCCACAATTTTCTACGGAGCAGACAGTAATTTATACTCTGTTAACAGAATTCGAAAGATATTAAGCAGAACAAGAAATACAATATGCGTTAAAAAGAAACAAATAAGTAGCGTGATGTTTAACTTGCAAAAAAAATAGGAGTGAAATATGTCTGCAGAATTGAGACCGAGTTTTATTCTTATCATCGAAGCTCTGCAAAAATTGACTTGAACGCTTCAAATACATGAACTTAGTAGCTTACATTTGTTTATACAACTAGTTTTCCGTACATTAAACTTTTTTAAAAATTCATGAATGTTTTCGTATATCTGGTATACACCAAAGTTAAAGGGATTATCAATAACTGGTCAGTACGAATGCCTAGACTAAGAATAATAAGCGATTTCATTTAGCATCTTACCTATTCTGGAAGATGCATCTAACCTAAAATGAGTGAGTAGTCTACTTGATGGTATAAGATGTTGCAAAATGACCGACAGAATTCGGTCAGCACTCAGGACTGGACAACATGGGATTGAAAAGAGTTCTCTTCGCTGAATATCTTGTTTTTGATGTCAAAATGGGAATTATGAATGCATTGGAAAATCCAAGGATCGGATGATGATTTACCAACTCAATGGGTTTATACGTTACTTTGTCAAACTTGCTTTGGTGAGATGTCAGGTTAGCTTTTATGAAAATTGCACTATTCGTAATGAGTATCCAAACTTTTTCTGGCCGGCGCTCAGGCAATATCGTATTCGCCCAAATTCAAAAACACTAGTGTCATGCTTTAAACCGAGCTGATGCTATTTGGTCCCGTATTGTCGAGTTGTAAAAAAATATATCTTTGAGTAGCGGTCGTCTTCATGACCTGTCCACAGATGAACGCAGAAAATTTGAGGATTATGTCTTTGTTGTCTTAGAAAAGCAGTCATAATCTGTTAGCTTGATAGTCTAGAACCAGTGGTTATGGAAAGAAAATTCCAGAGCAATCCTGACAACAATTTATTTAGTTATTCTTCGGTATTTCTCTCAAAAATCTAGTTACAAACCTTATCATTAGGTCGAATGTTAACAGACTGCACACCAAGGTGCAATTTGAAAACCTAATTAGTGAGACTTCCGATCTTACTCCAGCATCACCACAGGATTTCCAACATTTTAAGTCCACTATTCTTAACTCCTGTTACCAGTTCACTAATTGAAAATCTAGTTTGAATCATCTGCTGACGAAGGATCATATAACACAGCTCAAGTCGTTCACTGACAATAATGCCATTATCTCAAGTTGTCCTGATAAAGGAGGTGCTGTTGTCCTGATGAATCCATAGGAATACGTCGATAAAATGCTATCGATTCTCTCCGACCGAACTAAGTTTGATGAACCTGGAAGTGAGAGGAATAAAACACAACGGATCGAGATCCAACTCTCAGGTATCTTGAAAAAAGTGAAGGATAATGCATCAATTTTCTCTTATTTGTATGAACGCATCTGACCCGTTGGTTCTGTAGTTCTACGTCTTTTTGGATTCCCGAAAATGTATAAAGCAGGATTACCCCTTTGCCCGATTTTGGATATGTCAGGTTCTCTTTATCATCCTGTCGCCCAGTGGTTAGCTGAAATACAAGAACTAGTCAGAAGGCAAGTTTCCGGTCGATCTATTCGTGATACATTTGAGTTTACTGATAGCATTAAGGATGTTGACACCACCGGTAAAGTTATGTTTTCCTTAGATGTTACCTTGTTGTTCACCAGTGTACCACTCACTGAAACTGTCGGTTACATACGTAATTTCATCGATTCACGTAATGTAGAAGTAGGAATTCCAACAAACTACTTGAAAGAGCTATTGACGAGATATATTTTTAATGTGCAATTTAGTTTTGATGATAAGGTATACCAGCAAAATGATGGGATTGCAATGGGATCCCCGCTAGAATCTCCTTTGGCAGACTGCTCTATGTCAAAATTAGAAAACTCTAATCTTAGCCAAATTATTAACCATTTAGACACCTATAAACGATATACGGATTACTTGTTCGTTATTTGTGACTTAAATATCGATCTAGATGACATCCTACGCGAGTTCAACAGTTGTTACTTAGCGTTGGGATTCACTACAGAGAAGGAATTGGAATCAGCTATTGCTTTTCTTGATGTGCCGATTACGAGACGTAGCAGTGGAATGCTGAAAAGATTCATCTACAGGAAACCCGCATGGAACGGGCTGCTTACTGATTTTTATAGTTGGGTGCCGATCATGAGAAATAAAAAATCTATTCACTCACTCTGCCATCCAATAAGTAATATTTGTAGCATGGACTGTGTCCAAGTTGAACTTGAATTTCTAAGATGGACGCTTGCGGAAAATGGCTGTCTTAGCTGGTTTATTGATAAGAATATGCGAAGAAGACAAGCGAAACTAGTCATGAGCTCAGTTTCCAAAAAGACTTCGTTTATGAATCTGGAATTTAAAGGTGATGCAGCATCAGATATCCTGAAAAATCGTCTTTCCAGACGAATAAGTAGGACATTTTTCTCAGCCAAACGTCATTTGACTCTTACTTGTCGCAAATTGTTCTCCGTTTGTGAAAAATACAGTATCCCTCGACAGGCCATATCTGTGTGTATCTACCAGTTCACCTGTTCCTGTGGAGCGAGATAAATCGGCTGTAGTCAGAGATTGTTGTCAACACATATACGAGAATATATTCTGGCCTGGTTTTATAAGAGTGAAAGGAAATGCATCAGACGTTCTATCCTTGAACATTTATTTTATTTGAACTATTCAACTGAGCCAATGATTTTAAGGTTGTCTATCGAATTCGCCCAAACATTTCACGTTTCTTCCGTGTTCAACTTCTAAGACCAGCTGAGGTCTATGGCTATCCACGAACTGAAGCCTATGTGCAAAAGAAGTATGTACAGTCTTTGTCTCTACCTTCACCTTAACCTAATTTTGTCTTGGTTTGTTTTGTTTTTTGTTTTTCAAACTTCCCCTTTTATCAAATTGATCTTTGTACTCTTATGTAGTCATTATCATTTTTTTCACATTTAATAGTTCCCGGTGTTACTTCATTTGATCTTCCTAAAAATTAGAACTTTTGACAAGACATTTTCAATTTATTTCGACTAACTTGTCTCATTCATATTATCTAATCCTTTGTTTATTGATTAACCCTGCCACGTTTTCACCCTTTTGTAATCTATATGCACCTCATAGACGATTTAAAAATCTACGCAGCTCTTTTTGTCATCATTTAACCCTTACGTCATCAACTAACAACATTATTAGTGTTATTGCTTGTATTACACCGTTGATCGGACCGAATTGACCAGTCTCTGTTGGTATATGGGCTCCTGTGTGGATGCCTCGATATTACCTGTGCTCTTATGATAGTAATGATGGATAGTGGCTAGCGCTGGAATCCAGGATGCGCATTTAGTCATATTTGGGAATCGTCAGCTGGATGTACCTGCCTTCCGGTGAGTGATGTTGTTCCCACCGGGATTCGGACTCGGGAGCGATCGCTTCAAACGAGTCCCAAATAAGACGAAATGCGTATCCTGGATTCCACTGCCAACCACTATCCATCATTACTATGTAGTTAAGATCATAGAGAATATCGAGGCATCTGCACAGGAGCCCATATGACAACAGAAACTGATCAGTTCGGTCCAATCAACGATGGTGTAACGCAAGCAATAACACTGGAACTGTACCCGTCGCACAAGGAGTGGCTATCCTGGCTCGGTGATGTAGTGGATAACGACCTGGTGTTTGAGGCAATCGCTCCCGAGTCCGAATCCCGGTGGGAAAAACATCACTCACCGGGAGGCAGGTACATCCAGCTGACGAATCCCAAATAGGATGAAATGCACATCCTGGATTCCACTGCTAGCCACTATCCATCATTACTATATAACAACATTATTATAATAACCACCACTGTTGTTATTTCAACCCCCTATTATTTAAGTTAAATCTTCGTCACGAATTGAAGTCTTAAACACGAGATTGGTTACTCTGCACTGATCAATCAATGTACGCAATTCAGTCCTATGGACGGTCAGTTGTCACCAGGATAGCTCATTGGTAACGTTGCTGACTGTAATATTGGGTGATGTGGGTTCAAATCTCACAGGGGATATTATTTCCGTCGAGGTTGCAGACACGCCTTGCTGATGAGTGCCAAAAAACACGAAACCTAGGTCCAGGACTTCCTGTCGATTGTTTCAAACCAACCAACCAACATTAGATGTTACTGTTAAAAGTACACACCTTGGAATTATCCTAAAAACTTTGCTCCTATTGACATTGGTTTTCAACATTTACATCAAAGAAATTGGTAATGGGGAATTCATCTGTCCTCTAGATGTTGAAGATTTTGTGCATTAACTGCCTAATTAAAGCATGTGTAGTCTGTTTGAGCTATTTGATAGCAACCGAGGCTAAACCAAAGCTTATACTAGAAAACCGTTCGTTTCAAAATTTAATTCATCTGAACTCGACTTACGGAAATATTTCTCTTGAGTAATCTCACCTTAGTCTTATCATTTAGTAATGCCGATTGAAATTAGATAATTTTACTCAATACTCCTATTCTTCCCTAATTTACACAATATCGGTGTCATATAGTTGTTGAAACAAAGCATTTAAATGGTACAAATATATAACGAGTGATATCTGTTAAAAGCCCCTTCGACTTAGTATAACAATGAAGTGAGAAATCTTAATATTCGTTGATGGTTAGCAATCGTGTCTAGGAAGTGCATTTCGTTGTATTCCGAACTCCTTGGTCGGATATAATTAGCTGTCACCAAGCCTTGGTGCTCATACTTAAACGTATATCCAGTATCAATTATTTGGAAAGTATGAACGTTGTTGACCAAACCACTAAGTTGTAATATCTAGCTTTTTCTGAGGGTTTCCAAATCCCATTGAACTTTTAGTGTTGGTCATTTTTCAGTCAACTGAACTAATTCCAGTAGTCTTTGTTGATGCATAAGCTCCTAGTATCAATGTCATATCTTGATTGGGTGCATCTAAAGCGTAAAAATCACTTATGAATCTGTTTCTACCGCTTTCACTTGGGTTTATTCTTTTGATGTTTTCTCCAACTGTATCATTGTTGTCCAAAGTTAGTCATTTGAATCGCTCACTATTGCTTTTATTGGTATAGAAACTGTAGATTTATGTCTTAAGTTCACAAGTCTGTCAAAAGTCAGTAGTTGAAGCCATAAACGGTAGGTACCGAAATATTTTCCAGAGACAAAAATATGTTGTGTTTGAGTAACTCATTTGCTGAGCATCCTTTAGTATTTTGTCTTTATGGGGTTCGGAAAGCTGTCAAGACATGTATGTATATGTATGCCTTTAACTCTCCAACTACTGCACTTTGACTTTCAGTCATAAGTAGATTGTAAATATATTGCCATTTCTGATAAAATGAGGAATCATGTTTATATAATGTACTTTTCAAGGTTGTACCATCTGATCAAACATTCAACAAATCTTCATCAAAATACCCATATGTTGGGATGTTTTGGTTTCGATTTTGGCAATTCGGTGATTGGTTTGATGTTGTTGTTGATGATCGCCTGCCTACACGTAATGGGCATTTGGTATTTATGCATTCTGCTGATCCCAATGAATTTTGGTCAGCTTTATTGGAGAAAGCCTATGCTAAGTAAGTTTCTTATTTTATTTATTGATGAACAATACTAAAGTTTTTGATAAGAATAAATATTTCTGATGGGTTAATTTCCAATTGTGTCGGTGTTCAACTGCGAACACACCACTAGCCGTGGTAAGTGATGCAACTCAGTAACTTGGTAATAGTTTCTATTCTAGGTTGTGAGCCCTATGTGGTTTCTGAAGGCTTACGATACTGCATGAATGCTTAGGCTGAATTAGGCAAAGAAACATTAGGTTGAGTAATCCTATGGTTGTTAGTTGTAAGTTTAAACCTGTGAGTCGTAACCCTTCGTAAGTATTAAACGAAAAGCTTACGAACTACTCCATATGTAATAAAACTCTGATCATGTGTGTTTCAGAAGAGTAAACGGCAATAACTGGTACTACTTTTTTGTGAAGGACATATATAAAACAATCCAGTGATCGAAGTTACTACACGTCATATAAGAAATAAAGCCACTCCAAGGTACTAATAACAAATCAGAGTTTCTTGAGGATTTCACGAGTCTCTTCAAGGGATTTTTGTACTTGTTTCTTTTCTAACATCATTGGATAATCCACTAGAGATGCATTACTAATCATATGAATTCATCTTATATACTCCGAAAACAACAGTCACATGCAGGCATTGACAATAGTGCGTTCTCTAAATACTAATCTGAAAATATACCCTCCAATCGTATTATCGCTTTCCACCTTTTCTTGATTTACATGACTAGGATTAATGGGGATTGAAAAGTTAAGTTCAGGTTGCCACTTTTCTTGATAGTTGTTCTGTTTATTTTCTTCCATGCTTAGGTGTACTGTTATTTTTTTTTTCAAGGCTTGTGTTCTCTTATGACGCACTTCGTGGTGGGTGTACAGCAGAAGCAATGGAGGATTTTACTGGCGGCTTGACTGAACTTGTTGATTTAGGAGCAAAAGCACCTGATAAACTGTTTGGTATTATGGAACATGCACTTGCCCGAGCATCTCTTATGGCGTGTAGTATTGATGCCGATCCACATGAGGTTGAAGCTAATGGTCCATTAGGCCTGATTCTTGGTCATGCATACTCTGTAACGGATATACGACAGGTAAAACATTTTGATTCATTTATATTTTCTCTTTTGACAAGTTAAGCTCATTTATGCTTTTTGTTTATGTGTTGTTTTGCTTTGAATCGACTTTTAGAAAAGAGACTGTATCGTTGACTCTGCAAAATAGTCTCTTCCTCTGTAAATAACCCTCAAAATCACATCTGATCATCTTTGTTCTTTTCCTTTCAATACATTCTGTGATATGTTTGCTTACTTTCATATCAGTAAAGCTTATGGTTTTTAAGTTCAATCGGTTGTTTATCGTATCAATCATACGGCGAATATCATTGTTCAAGATGTTCAGAACGAAGAAATGCATCATTATTTCGTAGCAGTTTCAGCAGATTGCAAGCTTTCTAACTGGACATATAAACGATAAATGGATATTAGCTGCAATGATACCGATGAGTATCGACTCCTCTCTGTCTTAATCTTCAAAAGTTTCTTTTATCTTTATTTTCTTCTTACCTTATTTCTCATTTTCTCATGTTCGTCACCATAGGTTTGTCCATATATGTTATATGTATCACTTTACTGTCTACGTCAACTTACGACAATTATGGAAGTAGGAATATGTCAAAAAAAAAGCTACGAGTCTTGGTTGTTTTTCCTTCTCTGAACTGTGTGGTTTGTTCGTGAAGTTTTCATTATCTTTCTACTCATCATTAGCATTAACCTCAATATGAAGTAAACTGTCTGTAAATGATATAAAATTAGGTCAAACAAAGAAACAGTCAACCAGAAAATGTATGCAGTCAGTGATACAACAATCGAAGGAAACCATTAATCTTAAACTACTTCTTCAGGACAAGTTATTGAATCACTCACAGAGAAATCCTGATAGCCCGCTTCATATTGAAGTTAGTATTGATGATGTCTACAAAGACAAAGCTTCAGTACTAGATCACCCAGTTCAGAGAATCTAGCACAAACAAGATCATCCACCTATGTCCAATCATGCAAATGCATTAGATCTATGAAGTTACTAACTATTTGTCTAAGCTGTTTTAGGATGTGTGAGCTACTTAATCGATGTCCCTGAGATCTCAGGAATCCATGTTTGAAAAACCTTAGTGAAATGGCTAAAATTTAATCATATTAGCACAGATTTATTTACTTTTTTGATCAAAATCCTCATTACCTTTCATATACTCCTTCCCCCTGCTTCTCCTCCCATGTGCCTTTTGTTCGTTTTAATTTCCTTTCCTCCTGTTGAATCTCTCCTTATATTCTCATTTGTTGTGACTAATTGGATCAATACCCTATTGTGTCGGGCTCTACCTTGATTTCATCGTCTTCCTGTTATCTCTGTGTTTCATATTTTAATAATCGTAGCCAGCTCACTACTGTGATACCCTGTGTTTGTTGTCACTACTTCGTTATTATTTATATACCAAGTGCTTTGGAACTATCAAAATGTGATCATACCAGTATGGGAACACATCCAATTTTAAGAATGAATCCCATGAGTCAGAACCATGGTAGTATGATTTTTGTCAACTAGTTCCCGACTAATGGTGGTGGATGTACTTTTTATGCCAATGGGAACATTTGTTCCTTAAGGTTCTACCATACCAGAAACGTCTGTTGCGTAGTGGCTAGGCAGAAAGCAGTTAACGTCGTAGCGAGAGTAGCTTATGCTACGATTGTAGTCCGAAGGTGAAATGCAGTGTACACATATTAAAATATGACTGGTTATCAAGTGTTTTTCCTCAGTATTGACATAGATGACTCTTTCAGTTTAAACTTTTCATCAAAACTTACCTGCGAATTTCACTATCTCTGAAATGAGTCAATCATGAATAAATGGCGTGTGGTATAGAAATTTCAATTACTGACTATTAGTTTTGTTGTAGTATTCTTTGACTTATTCTAATCACCATCTTACATATCTTTTTGTGTTGTTTTTCATTTTCTACCCCATGAATTAGCTAACTTTTTACTCCGAGTCATTTATTCGACAACAGTGTACAGTCTCATGATAGTTTATTGTAAACCACATGTATGTCATAGAGAGCTTATCATTGTAATCCGACAACATCTAATGTAGATCTTATCGCATCATTATAGCTATTATGAAATGAATAGACCAGCAAAATACCTTGGTAAATGAAATGAGAATAAGAGACAACTGAATTTCATGCTTAATTTAGTCAGGTGATTTCTGAGGGGTTGATTACTTAAGGATTAGTTTTCATCATGAAAATTCGATAATTGCGTAATAATAATGTCTAAAGATCATAACTATTGTATGAACTTGTGATAATATTCGAATGCTCAAGAATTTTTGGATGAGATGAGGTTGCAACTCGTGATCAACTTGTTAAAAGTCGAGTATTGAGCTATAACTCCACCGTAAAGCGTTTAGCAACTTTTTGGTCTTAGTTTTTAAACTCGCCAGAAGTATACACTCATTTTGATATGCTATGCAGCCGGGAACTTTCAGGTCTTACAGCTACCATTTTATCGTTAAAACAGTGGCTAAAATTCAATTCCCTATGTTTTTCAGCTTCAGTTAAGTCATTCTACGATTTCGCTTCTTTTTTGGTTCCTGAAGTAAATAACTATCATGCTTTCGATCTAAAGCCTCAGTTGATCGATTCCTGGGAATTATCAACTTTATCAAAACCATAAGTTCGTCGAAACAGTAGTAGAATTTAAGTGCTGTGCTAGAGTAACACTACATTATACTTCTTTTATTATATGATTATGCGCTACAAATTCTGCTCAAAACCTTACCATTAAATAATACTGTTTCACTTTGTGTTATATTTAAGGGAAGAAAAAATCATGAAAAAGTTCATCTACCGTTTAATGCTTTATATACACTTAAGGTAATCTCTCCGCTGAAGGGAAAATCAATGGCAAATGCTTTTTGTCAGTAACAGCATAGTTGAACTCGTTTCTCACAAAAAACATATTTTTCTGTCATACTAGAACAGTTCGATTTGTATGTAGGCTAAATCAGAGTAATTGTTGTTAACTGGATATAATTCATCCATTTAGTAGAATGATCAATTTGCAAACGATTTACAAATTGCACGATCCGCGTTGACATTTCTCACAGCTAAGTAGTTTTTCAACTGCCCAACTGTGGTGTCAACAGGGTTTCCACTGGAAATTCATCTATGGGAAATGTCAACGTGAACCGTGCAATTTGTAAATCATTTGCAAGTTGATGCTTCTATTTTAGATATACCGGTCCATGCAAGTCAACTAGCCAGGTTTACATGATTTGAACTAATTCGGCTCTCTGTGAGCTGAATTTGTTCGGGCACACTGCTGATGAGCCCGATCCCAAACTAGCGAAACGGCCGTCTGGTGTTTAAATCACTTTCATCTGGCTGGCGAAATACTACAGGTCAGCCTGAGTGGGTTCTAACTACTCAAGTTGTTCAGTACCAGTATCTTTCATCTATTTAAACTTCTTTTTTAGGCACGAAACTGTAATAATATGCAGAAAAGTATATTTGGTTGAATTAATATTGATTTTGTGCTCTGAGTTAATTCTAAATACTCCTAATCATTTTGAATACTCAAAACACAAAATAAAGCAACATAGAGTTTAATGGCTTATAAACTCTGGAGTGGGCAGTGGAATAATTACACTTTACATAGTGTGATAAAAAGATGGAGATCATTTGAAAAATGTAATGTATTGACGCAATGCATTTGGAACAATCTGGTCACACATTTACTTATCCATACATTCCTATATGAAAGGCGAGAAAGTAGGCTGGGGTAAGGTACGTAAATAAGGATAATACAAGATTTGGAAAATCTAAAGATTAGTAGGAGGTATAATACATTTTCACACCTCCCTTCTTATTAAAGTCAGATAAAGATTACCTACTTTTTCACCCTGCATATAAAAATACCTGAATAAGTAAGTATGTGTGTAATCAGATTGTTCGAAATGTATTGCAGCAGTATATTACTTTTCTCAGATAACCTACGTCTTCTTATTACACTATACAAATTTATCAAAGGGACTAGTTGTTTCAAGCTTCAACTTAGTAGCTGTAAAAATTATTTGACAATAAGCGTATTGTAATGGTCAATTTGTCCTGGATGTGAAAAATTTTTCGTATGCCTTCCTAGTTTACCTTCAAGGACGTTTAAAAACGAATGTTTGTTGTCTTTTTAATACCTCTTAGTTTTGTTGAACACATTGATGATCAGCTAGTTACTGTTTTCTACTTCCTTTCATTCATTAATGATGAATGTGTTATTCACATGGTGTATTTATACTTGCCGGTTGACCATGAGCAAAATAACTAGTTCCAACCTTTAGTTTCATCGATGAGTTCAGTTATTCTTGACTCTGTTGTAGTCCTGTTGATTTATTTATGTACCGAATTGTTGAACTGAAAACAGATTGTTAGATAAATATCGATGATTTCAGTTAGACTTTAAATCTGAAGATCTTTACTCTCCAGTAACTGTCTACCAATCAATACACATAATGTAGCTTGTATTTTATCATATCGATTTTTTTTAATTGAACAGATCTATCATTAGTATAGTTGCTTGTATCAATCAATCATTGATTGGAACGAGTTGGTCGGTCTCTATTGGCATATGGGCTCCTGTGTGAATGCCTCGATATTATCTGTGCTTTAGTTGTATTAATGATGCTAGCCACTATCCATCATTTATACAGTTCTTACATTGTTGGTGCATGAGCTATGGTGCTGATATCTCGGTGTTGCCAGGGTTTTTCTTTATGATAGTAATGATGGATGATAAGAACAACACCACCCAGTGCAGTCAGTTGATAAGTTTAGAATATAACGAAATCCACGTCCTGTATTTCTTTGCTCACCACTATCCATCAATATATTTCCTATCCCGAATCTATAAAACGTTTTGATTTGATTTGCGTATGAACAGCAGGTCATATTCCATGTTTGGAATTGTACTAAACTTCTGTGTATAGCTTCTACTCTTCGAGATCACTTTTATGTATCATCCGTCTGAAGTTGTTTGAAATCAGA